TTCGTTCATTTGTTTTGACGGTAAATTGGTACTGGTATATGTCCGGGGAGTCAAACCCGCCATCAATTTGCTTGTAATCAACAATCATGAACAGGCTTGCCAGCGAGTGGTTGCTTTTGGCATTTGCTATCACTTTTGCTATTTCCGGAATGCCTTTGCTTTGTACAAAAAGCGAATGCAGAAGGAGTTTTGACTTTTGAGCGTGCCTGCACCTCATCTCCAGTGTTGCCTTTCCTGTGATAATTCGCCAGCTAGGAATAAGTTATGTATAAGAACGTAAATCGTCACAGGGCATATTTGGCATCGACCGACAGAAAAGTATTATTTTTTGAGGTTCTGCGTCAAAACAGGAGGAATCAGGTCCGAGTGTTGTTAACTTAACGACGCGTTCACAATTTACGGGTAAAATATATCATCTGCCTGAAAACTGTGGCCGACCGCAGTCATCGCAAGGACGTACCTTCCCGCAGAAACCCCGCGCCGAGGGACATTTGGATGACCTCAGCGACTACTATGAGGTCTTTGTTTTTTTTTTTGTCAAATGATTATTTTTTTATGATTTGGTGCTTACTGAAGATACTGTTTTAGCCATATAAAAAGTAAAGTACGACAAGTAGGGTATGGTGGGGGTGAAGTGTACAGGGTTCCAGGCGCAGGGATTTAAGGCAGGTGGAAGAGGTTGGTTGGATGGGTTGAGTGAATACGTAGCGTGGGTCTGTTGGCGGTTGCTTAGGTTCCGTAAAGGGCAGGGAGGAGGGGATGATGCCGTTAAAGGCAGAACGTTGCATATTAATAAATGGTACCGACGAGAAAGTAAACGACTACTCTGGTAGCTTCCGAAGAGATGGTGCACGCACATCAAACATGCGTGAGTATTATTTAGAGCCGTAGATTTAAGGACCTGGCGTAGCTGCGCTCGATATGTTGGTACATCCCAGCAGTATCACTAACATGAGGTACCCGCACCAATTGTCTGGGAGTTCTTAGTGCGTTCTTGAATAGTGTGGTAATTTTTTTGAGACAAAATTTAGCTACGATGAGCCAACAACGCCAAATAAACTGCATATGTTAACAAATAGAAGATTTCAGGTCCATTCACCTAGCCAGGTATATTCATTGTTTGTATCCTTAAAATTTCTGAAACAATTAGCTAAACAATTCCAAATTTAAGGCATTTATTAAAATTCGGTTCATTTCAGCTGTGTTGGAAGGCTAGTTGCAATCACTGTGGGGTGCTCCCTTGGGTGACGGAATGAGGGTAGGGATGGATAGGAACAGAATACTTGTTTAGGCCACAAGAGGATTGTAATAGAGGGATAGGGACTGGAGTATTGATTGGGTAGGAGCTGAAATCTTGCTTGGAGGTAAAAATTCGAGACGGGAAAGGGTCATATATGGGCTGCTAAGCAATATGAAAGCTAGTTACTGAGTGAAAGCTGACAAGCTTGTTTTTGCGCTCCAAAATCTTACCTGAGCAAAAAATCAAAAAGTCATTGATAACCAAACTGTTACATCGCGTACTGGTAACGGAGGCATGGATTGTGTGCTTTACATTAATAATTTCAGATGATGAATGAACTTCAGCCTTCACCTCAGCAGTACGCAGCTGAGAACGTTTCTATGAATACTCAATCATATTTTGATCAGCTTGATTCCAGTGTTCGTTTTTATCAACTTTTCCCACTCTTTCTTTACTTTTTTGAAACATCCTATTGTAGTTTTTTAATTTCAACAAAAGTGGTCCTCCTCCCCTCCCCCCACTTTGTTTAATCTGTTTGTGGGGCGTAAGTCGCTTGGAAAGTAGCTAATGAAAACAGCAACCACTCTTTGGTGAAACTGACGCGGAATGCCAACAGCAACCACTCGTTGGTAAAACTGATGATAAATGCTAACAGCAACCACTCGTTGGCAAAAATTCAACTATTCGTTGGCAAAACTGATGATGGTTGTGTTTTTTTAAAAGTTGCTCAAAAGCAAACTTTTTATGGGTTTGATTCCCTGGCATATTCTAGTACGTTTTTACTACTGAATAGACGAATCATAGAAGGATTGGTTGTCCTGTTGATCATTTGGTGGAATCGAACCTTAACCTTCGGGCCCTACCACAATGCCAAATCTTAATACGCTGCTCCTCCTGCCAGTTCGTTCATCTAAAGTTTTTTTTATAAAAAATCTTTCTATCAGCACTTGAACCTAATGGATTTTACTGTTGTTCAGGATTCGTATCAAAACACTTCGCAGTCACCGCCGATTGGATTATCACCGAAACAACTGTATCCCAGCACGGACCAGGCACCAGCAGTTATTCGGACAGCTACAAAAATTGTGCGTAAAGTGGTCACCACTGTTGGCAGTCAACCAATGCAGGATGAAAGAAGTGTTGACTATTTTCTGGACAAAGCTCAGAGTTTGCCAGAAACATCGAATTTATCTTCGAGGATCACGCGTAATTTAGGTTAATCATTTTTTTGCGTTCTTTTGTAAATTATCACCAAAACTCATTACGACGAGGGATTTTTTGTGTGTATATGTCTGTCTGTTTGTGTATGTGTGAATGTTTGCGCTTGTATCTGAGTCTGGTCAGTTTTCTCCCACTCACTTCAAGGGGTAGAAGCAGCACTCGAAAATAATTCAGATGACAGTTGGCAGCATGTGCTAGCATCAGCCCTCTGTTGGCAAAGTTGTTGATGGCTGTTTCTTTCGAGAGTTGCTTAGAAGCAAGCTTTTGGTGAATTTGAACACATCCTCCCCTCCCTTGTCTTGTACCACTTACCATCGAAACGAATGAACGAATCGTAGAGAGAGGGATTAGTGAACGAATCGTAGAGAGGGACGCAGACGAAATATCGTCCTTCAGCAGAAGAGAAGCACTGTCTATCACGGGTAATGTAAGTAGTTTTTTTTTTT